CTGCGTGAAGGATCTAACACGGACACAGCAGAAAAACAACCTGGTCCACCAATTTAATGCCCACGTTCCTAACATTAGCTCTGCCTGCTACGTAAGTTACCTGAAGTAAGTAAGCGAGGAAGAAAAGTGGTGGGAAAAGAGTAGGGGAAATCAGTTAAAAGAGATAGATACCAATGGTGAGAGAAAGCACAGAAAATAGTATCGAAGTATGAAGCTTGGAATAAGTCAGAATAAAGGAAACGTATCACGTCGTCACCCAAGAGCATCTAGTGGACACTCAAACCCATTTGCCGTGGGTTCCATGACAACATTTTCTGGAAGCAAGTTCCAGCGCTCGATGCCTCGACGCGGTAACCGTGCCTCCACTCTAACTCGAACGGACCGCGGTCTGTCCAGCTTCATAGAATCTCCGTGGAGACCAGATAAACTAGCAGGACTAAATGGCCAGGACAACGCAGGGCCATCAGTTCCAGTCAAAATACGGTTGGCTAGGATTAGGTCTCATCTTATCTTTCGATAGTGCATTGGATGCTAGCCAAACAACCACCTCGTGGTGCCAGCTGGGTGGTTCGGGTTTAACCCGTTCCAGCAAATAGTTCGGCGGCAGTGTTCCTAAACGTAGTGGGTTTTCGTCCGGCAAGTGTTCTCCCTATAGAAAGCAGCAAATATCGGCTTATCAACACTGTGACGTGGCGGATGTGACCCGCCATAAAATAAAGTCACTGGCCCGTGGACATCCAGGAAAATGATATCCAACCCACGGACGTCAAGCGCTTATTCTCAAATTCTTACCGATAACAAACAGTCAAAAATTCTGCGGCACATTCAAAAATACAAGCTACATTCATAGACAATTGCATACATATACACACCCATACACTTACATTCACTGTTATGCCAAACATGTACTCTTTGTACATTTTGATCACACTATGTTAGCTAAACATGATCATGCCTGTACAGGTGTGCCTCGCATTGTCGAGAATAAAAGTTTATTTATTTATTTATTTATTGATTTAAGTAGGCGTTAGGGGAACGTTTGTCCTCGAACCCCATCGACTAACCTAGTATCGACACGCAACACCCTTTCTATCGTCCCGGACAAGGCATGGTGGACAGGCCTGGATTCAATATGCTAGGTGGGGTCACATTGCAGCTGAGAAGAGCTTCACAGACACCTTAACGGTTATGATCTCGAAATAAAGACAGATAAACCACAATATCCGGAACCATTTGCTAGCCGCATTCTTCCAGTTGTCTCCAGAGTGTGGTGTGGAAAAGTGACCGACACCTAAGTCAATCTGATGAGTCTCGTGAGGGAGTTCACTCACTTTGAGCACGTAACTTTTGGAGGCAGCAATAGCTCTGATACACAGCAATGAACACTGTCCGCTTTTTGGGCAGTAAGCACAAGGCAGACCATTTCCAGCGTTTATCCAGAGCCCGTTGAAGAGCCACTGGACCTCCATGGATATCAACAATATTCCAGCGCTTTAAGCCATCAGTAACTAAGCGCGATGGTACCTCAAGCTCCTCTGGCAATTACTTCGCGTAGACTGAGAACCGCAGCGGAGTTTGGACGGAACCTTGCGTACCGCCGTTAAGGACAGCTCGGAGATACGAAAGACTGCTTTCCACGAGAATACACTGTTCCCGTTCATCTAGATAAGCAGACACACAATACAGACAGCTACCAGATATTCCATACGACATCAACTTCAGTGAGAGTCGCGAATGGGGGACAGTGTCGAAGACCTTGGTAAAGTCAAATAAAACCACATTGACCGATGTCCACGCTCTAGGGCTTCAGCCAAGCTCTCACGAGCTACCAGCAAGTTCGTCTGACAGGAAAATCCTTTGCTCAAACTACGTTGCTCGACGCTGAGCAGGTTAAACAAATTTAAAGCGTTCTTCACGATATCTCGTGGTAATTTTTCGAGCAACTGAACGCCAACGCTAGTCAACCCGACTAGCCTGTAATAAGCCCGTAGGTCTATGTCAACGCACTTCAAACTCAGGCAGACAACGGCCTTCTTCCACTCGGTAGGAAAGACACAGCTGTTGAAGGACTTCTGAAACACAAGAGTCAGAGGTCCACTGAGTTACACTGCCAATTCGTGCACCATTTTGGATAAACTGCATCTGGCCCGGAAGACTTAGTTTGGTATACCGCTTTTCGCAACCTGAGAACGTGAGATTTAGTTACGGGAAATTTCTCCGGACAAGGGTCCTCAGAGACACTTTAAGCTGGTTCTCTACATGGCGTATTCGTTTCGCGGACAGAGCGACTTGATTATCGCTCACCAAGCGTGCATGCCTTGTCATAGTCGCTATAAGCATGGGTCCCATATCCTCGACTCAATGGTGGTATGGGCGAGTTTGCACCAAGGCGTCGTTTAACGTAAGCGCAGAATTTATGGGGATTGTTTCAGGCAATTTCAGCTAAGCCCGTTTCCTACCGAAGCCGGGCCAACCTAAGATGTAGCTTGCACTCAGTTCGAACCAACTGATACTTGTCAAACATGATGTTCTACGGAGCTGTTCGATAAGCTCGTCAGCATCTAGACCGCTGTTTTAGCATGCCCTTTCCGATGTAATCTATCCATGAAGGCTGCGCTCACGATTCCCTACTGTTACCAGTGGGATGTGTGGTGATGAAATGTCGACGAGGCGAGCCCTACTTATCCCAGGCTATGTAAACCGGGTCGGCCTCATGTATCAACCAAGGCGATGACCTAGCTTTATGCCGCATCGCTTGGAAGTCCGCGGCCCAAACGTGCAGATACCAGCTGGTAGTAGCTTGGCAAGGCCCGATAAAGCCTCACTGAAATGACAAGCAAAGGTGATCGCAGGCGCCAAGAGGCTAGTCGTAATTAATGTCATTTACAAAGTCAAGTAACTTGGCATAAACAAGATCTAAATTGAACGGATCCTGATTTCTCAAGTACCTAGTGGGGAGGTCCACGAACTGGTGTCGTGATACCTGCAGTGTTAAATCCAGCGGTTCGGTACCGAACGATCCCAGCGCGGAACTGCAAGCTAGGCCATCCCAACAAACCTCTGCGAGGTTGAAATCTTCCAGAACCAGACAGCTGTTCTCAGAGTGAGTGCGTATGAACTCAATGATTTCATTGGAGGTGTTCCTAGGGCTTCTACACACTAACACGAACGTAAGCTGAACAGAGGAAGCGCGAATCAAGACCGCGATAGCTTCAACCGATTTGTCAAGAGGCGGAAAAACCGGTCCTCAATAAGCCGATGTGATAACTCACATAAAGAGTTACACCACCCCCTGACGGCCAATGGAGCGGGCAGCGCGGAACATTGCGTAGGCAGGCAGATACAATTCGCCATCTGTGCTTTCCTCAGCCAGGCACTTTTAAGTGCAAGCAAGTATGTCTGGACGATATTTGTTCACGAGCAGACCCACCTCGCACATCTTGTTCCTTAGGCTATGCACGTTACTATGTAGTACTTGGAGGAGTTCGGCACGACCAGCATTGAGTCGTGCGCAAGTAGACTAGGTTCTGGCAGAGCGGAGAAGGACCGCCGGCTGACCAGCTGCAAACCCACCAACCCGAGACCTTGCTCGCCAGCTGTACGCCGGGCTTTCAGGTATCTGACAGCATCATTTAACTTTAACCTATCTGCTAACGGCAGGTGTGGTTGTACACTAACCTTGCTACCTTTGAGCTTGAAGGTACATCGCGGTAACGACCTGCACCCTTCTGAGGTTGAGAGGACCATCCAAAGCAGACGGGGTCGAGGATTTGGTTGACCAACTGAAATATTCCCCAACCTGCTGAGCATCCTGACAGTAACGCCAGGGCAACATGGGGGTAAAATGCTGATCGCGCAAATTTTAACTCAACCAGGACCGTCAAGCATGCGCTCGGTGAGAAGAGCGGCAGTGAATTCAGTGACGATTCCTAAAAACCACACTGCTATCTGTGTAAGAATCGCCCCGACGAGGCGCATTTACTCCACATGCTCTACCATCCACGCCACATGGTTATTTGCCAGGAATCGGTGGGACCGAAGGCGATGAAACCTCACGTCTCACTGAGGGAGCTGCAAAACCAGGTTGTGTTTCCAGCTCAGGCGCTTGCCTCTTGAGAGTTTTATCACTCGGTTTGGGGGCGGGGGTTTGCGCGCTTTCCTTGCCCCTTACGCTTCTTCTTTTTTGGTCCAGGAGCCCATGACACCTTCCATTTGGGGCGGTTCAACAATGACGGCTGAGGCATCTGTGTCAGCTATCTCCGTGTGAAAGGTAGTGTCCGGTAGGATGAAGGTCTCGTCAAAGGATGGACTATCAGCAGAACCACAATCCATTACAGCCTCCACATTCGCAATATTCAGGGAGTTCCTAATCAACTTTACTTTAGACTTGAGCCAAGCAAGAGAGGCAAGCTCGGCTAACCTCTTCTCAACAACTGTGAACCTGGATGCCAGTGCTTTGAATTCAGCACAGGTGAAAGCTGGAAGCTTCGCTTTCGGTGCGCAACAATCGACCCATCTAAACAGATGGTTTTCACTGGATGAAAGCATAGTTTACTGCTTCACTGGAGGCCGCTACAACTTTTGTGATACCAGCGGGAGCAAACATCACTATGCATATCACCAGATGAATCCATAACTGGCCTTGAACAAGGAGAATTGCTGCAAGCTGCATTTGACTCATCGAACGAGGAAGCAAGGTGTTCCTCCGCCCCGGTTTTTAGTGAGAGAATCATGTTTCGGTAGAAAATAGCGGAGTGTAAAAGCACGTATAAAACCGTAAAACGACTACCATAAAAAGGCAAAACAGAAATCATAGTACTAACTCAGAAGTCGAAGTACTAGAGCGCTGGTTTGCTTTTCAGTAAAAGAAATAGGACGCTCGTTAGGCTTGAGCTTCTTTTCGTCCTTTGTAACTGACCTGGGCTGATCCGACCTGAGCTGTGCTGACCTGACCTCTTCTGACCTTGAGGGTTGTATGGCACTTAACACTTAGCTTCCAGATGTTTCCACCTGACGATACAGATATCTCGGAGGTCAGACTAAGAGAGGTTGATAAGGTGCTTGAGCTAATTAAGGATTTGTCTTCCAAAGATTGCAACATCAGTGAAGACGCCGTTAAAAGAGCCGATGAATACTTGAAGAAGGGAAAGACGGGTATCTCGAATACCTTATTCGAAGAATGATCATGTGTTTGTAGGTTTTTCGAAAACTCTGATCAATAAGAGCGACTTGAACTCAGCGAATATGGGCAGTAAGTGCTTTCTAGACCGATCTAGGTTTCGTCCATTTTAAGTCATGCCATGCTGTATCACCTCTGTCGGCACCTTTGGACTTGTAGGAATGCAGGTATTTCTCAATAAATAAGCTCCGACAAGGAATAAATAAGTTTTTCTTTTACAAACTGTGGTGAATACTTTCTACTTTGGTTACTGATGTTGCATTTTTAGCGCATGGTTCAGCCACACAACTATTGCATTTCACTTGGTTGTTTCTTACGTTACGTAGGCGCATAGTAACGCAGATTGAGCAATTATACCTTTGCAAATTAGAATGCATAGTTGCTTGAGTGCGTGCCACTTTGCCTGCATTCAAACTCTTCAAGTTCAACTGGGACTAGAACAGTAGGATAAGTCCCTGCGAATGTTCCTTCTGCGGGGCGTCCTTGATCCGGGCTTCAAGCTCATTTTGGACCAAAACGATAGAATAATCCCGTGAATGTTCCTACTTTTGCGTATCGTTGGATTGGGAATTGATAGGTCTGCTTGAGATGTTGGAAAGCCTAAAATAAAGACCGCATCACATCCTGTCCAAACAGTTAGTCATCATCAGCATCATCATCAACAGCAGTACATCAGCCATTTGAACTGATGCTTCGCTGCCGTACAACCATGAGGACCTATGAAATAAAGAACAAGAAGAGGAAGAGAAGGGGAACTTACCTGAAAACCTTAATGCCCTAAGCAAACATTCTGGGTCAAGGCGCCTACAGCTTGTGTAGACAAGATTCCGTCACAAACAGCTGGCTATCGTGCAAAGATAAGGCGGCATCGGCGAGACAGCTTCCTTGCGGCTTTCACTGTCACGCGTCATAATCAGGCATTACTCCGCAGATAACTCAGCACCAAACACACTTTAAACAGACAATCCGATTAGGAGACGGCAGCAGACGCGCTACTGGTGTCGGTTGCGAGCCATGTCCTGTAAAGTCTCGAGCCAAGCACAAGGCGAGTCACGTGAACTCCAACCCGGAAGGCGAGACGTACCAACGGCACCCAGTTTGGTTGTCAGTGACTTCATTTCCCGCTGCCAAGTCAACTTCTGTCCACCTCGAGCCTTGCGCCATCCTACACCTGGTAGACTGAACAAGGCCCTCCTAGGTAAGCGGTGACCAGGCATGCGTAGCACGTGCCCGAGCCAACGTAACTTATTCAGTGCTATCTGTTGTTCTAGGGAGCTAGCATGATTATCACCACCTAGTATTCGCCTACGCACATCATCGTTGCGGACACGCTGGTGCCATCCGACACCAGCAATGCTTCGCAGACAACAATGATCAAAGACTTGAAAGCGCCTCAGATCTTCAGACAGAAGGGGTTAACTCTCACTATCATAGAGCAGAACGGCCCTCACTGTGGCCTTGTATACACGGCCTTTCAGACGGAGGGAAACTCCCTTCTGTCGCCAAAGCTGACGCAGGTTCAAGAAGGCGGCTCTGGCCTTTGCAATGCGTGAGCTCACGTCAGTTTCTATGCGCCGATCATTGCTGATGCAGCTGCCAAGATAAGTGAATTGATCAACCACCTCGAGTTCTTCGTTAGCAAGCGTCAAGGGGTCATCAAGTGGCTGGTGGTCCTGCAGCAACACTTTGCACTTTGAAGGTGCGAAGTGCATACCAAATAATGGGACCACTCTGGATAGGCTATTCAGGGTTGATTGTGCCGCCTCAACATTGTCGAAAAGCAAGACGATATCGTCCGCATAATCTAGATCAACTAACCTTTCACCAGGCAGCACTTCAACGCCTACATCGTTGGATTCCGCAAGGGAACACTCCATGATAGAATCCACGACGAAATTGAACAAAAACGGGGAAATCGGACAACCCTGACGAACGCCACTTGTAGTCGAAAAGCTATCCGATGGGGCACCATAGACCCTGACGCGGCCTGTAGTGTTCGAGTATAGAGCACGAAGGATGTTCACATATTTCGTGGGAACACCTTTTCCGCGCAAGTAATTCGAACAGAATCGATCGATCGACTGAATCGAACGCACTCTTGAAATCGAGGAACACAGCTATTGTCGGTCTGCGGTATGCGTGGCGCTGCTCTAGCACCTGCCGCAAAGTAAATATATGGTCTATACAGCCACGTCCTGGGCGAAAACCGGCCTGCTCTTCTCTAATCCGAGATTCCCGTTCTGCAGTGAGGCGACGAACGATAATCGAGGCCAGTAATTTTGTCACAACTGGCGTTAGGCTAATACCCCTGTGGTTCGCACAGTCTGTGCGACTGCCCTTTTTGTATATTGCCACTATAATCGATTCGCTCCAATTAGCTGGCACACTCTCTTCGTTCCAGATACGTTCGAATAGGGAGGTCAGTGCCTTGCAGAGGACCTCACCTCCATCCTTAAATAGTGCAGGTGGGAGGGAATCCGGGCCAGCGGCACGAAAACGATTGAGGGCTGTGATCGCGTTTCGGACCTCGGCCTCCGACGGAGGCTCTAAACTAACCGTCCATGCCTCGTCCTGCATCACCTGAGTAGGAAGAGGTCCGGGAGCAGGAGGCCAGCTGAACTGATGTTCAAAGTGTTCAGCCCAACGAGCCATACGGCGCTCCTTATTGTGTATCAGCGCACCCGCGCTGTCCCTGATTGTCTCACTGACGCCTGGTTTTCTGGGACCAGTGGTGCGGATTAGCTGGAAGAGCTTGTGGTAATTGCCTACTGCTCCTGCCTCCTCCATTTCTTGAGCCCGACTGGTCCACCAGGCTTCCTTGTCAGCACGCAGGCTCCGCTTTAGTTCACGCCTAATAGCCCGTCTGGTCACATTGTGTTCAGAACCAGCCGGAAGGTGTCTTCTAGCTTCCAACAGGTTCACGGACCTCTCGGATATCCAGTGACTGGTGCGGTGACGACTGATAGTGCCACAAACAGATGCTCCTGCGTCGTGCATAGCGGCCGAGATCCTATTCCACTGAAGTTCAGTGTCATTAGGACAAGACAGCGAGAGTTCGCTATGCAGTGCTTCTTGATAGGCTTGCCTGACAGAGGGCTGGGACAATTTCTCTGTTTCCAATCGGGGGAGACACTTCCGGTAAAGTTCATGGAGAAACGACAGCGCACCAAGGCATGATCAGAGTCGACACAGGTACTCCAGTACGAGCGGCAATCCAGAATGGAACCGCGCCACCTGTAACTTATGGCTATGTGGTCAATTTGGGTCCATCGCTGGCCAGCTACAGGTGGACGCCAAGTGGCACTTCGGCGCCCACTGTGTCTAAAAGCAGTGCTAGTAAGAAACAACTGGTGCTCCGCACACAGTTGCAGCAGACGCTCGCCGTTGTCAGTCCGTTCGGCGTTAAGTTCATACTTACCACCCAGCTGAGCTTCTGAAGAGCTCAGACGCCCTACTTGTGCGTTCATATCCCCTGCAAGTACTATAATATCTGAACTAGTAGCACTGCGTAGCAGCGTGTTCAGTTCGTGATAGAAAGTGTCCTTGACTGCATTAGAACTGCAATCGGTGGGAGCATAAGCAGAAATCACAAACAAACAGCGTTTTGTTTTACTTCGCGAATTCACCTTAGCTGTTGTCGTCAAACGGGCTGCACATAAACGGCTGTACACCGGGATCCAATCAACCGACGATGACTCAGCCTTGGAGCTGAGAATGATACCAGAGAATGAGAATGAGAGAATGAGAGAATGAGAATGATACCAGCTTGACCCGTGAGTGCCGCATCGGCGTCTCCGGATGCGTGCAACCAATAACGAGCGGATAATCCGAGTGCAGTCAATTCAATAACCCCGTTAGGGTCCTTAATCCTAGTTTCGGACACACAACACACATCAACACCCAGTGTGTCCAAGGTGCGTGCGAGTGCAGCCTGCTGACCTGTTTGTCTGAGAGTGCGAACGTCGAATGTCGCCATGGAAAGGGGACAGCGTGGCCTTATAAGGGACTTTTGCCGATAGGCGTCCGATAGGGGCTGTGGGATGGTGGCTGCAGATGGTACTACTCCACTAGCACTTCGGTTGCTGTCAATGAAGCTTGGAATTATAGAAGGAAGGTTAGTAATGGGGGCCGGGATGGGAGTACGAGAAAAAGGTGGAAAAGAAAGAAGGGAGGCGCCAGCAGTAGCATGTTTTCGCTTATCCGCCCTGCTGTATGCAGCAGATAAGGCGACCCTTGATAATCTTCGCGACGGCCGATGCAGGATGAAGTTTATGTTTGAAGAAAATGTCATGGTTGTATGTGGGCTGGGATACTGCCAGGGCGCGCATACCTAGACAGGAGAACGATTAGGGTCCTCATCCAAAGCCTTTGGCTCAAAAGCCTGTCCGCAAGGCCGCGGGGTGGCAGTGATTTAGTTTTACAGATATGGACGCCATCCCATTTCAAACCCCCAACCTGGAGGACCAGGAGACTGAGTTTGTCTGACCTCTCACCATTGACCAACCTGGTAGGAGTAGCTCTCAAGATGCTCGGAGGCATCACCCAGTATAGCTCAATGGGTCAATGAGATACGCAAACCGTCGCACCACGTTAAGGTCCAGTCTCGTTGCGACGGCCAAACCGTTAGTGCCCATGTTTTCCTGCCCAGCAGTCCCTGCCAGACCGGTTTGTGTGAAGTAAGAGTGTAGCGTAAGCTAAGAAACCAAGAGGAATGTTAGCTTAATACTGATAATACCAATATGTGAAAAAAATAACGAACGGAAAGTTGAAGATACAAGTCGGTTTGCACGATAGCCAGCTGTTTGTGACGGAATGTTGTCTACACAAGGTGTAGGCGCCTTGACCCTGAATGTTTGCTTAGGGCATTAAGGTTTTCAAGTAAGTCCCCCTTCTCTCCCTCTTATTCTTTATTTCCTAGGTCTTCATGGTTGTATTTCAGCGAAGCATCAGTTCAAATGGCTGATGTACTGCTGTTGGTGATGATGATGGTGATGGATAAGGGGGAGGTTTGGTACTGCCACCCAGAGCATCTAACTGACGCTTGAAGCCCTCATCCGTACAATCCGTACCCACGTACTCCGGAAGCGAGTTCCAACCTTCAATAACGCGACGC